TATCTAACTTCTAGGAACTTACTTGAGTTTAAGAAAAGAAGAGCTAAAGCTCGCTGGACAAGGCGCCAGGCGAAGGGAAGCTCCTGGAGGAAGTATTTGACGTCCTTAAGTAGCTTTGTACCTGCAAAAGAAGCGTGGGATCGCCTTAGAAAAATGAGGGGTGACTTCTTACCCTTCAGAATTCCACTTTTCCCTGCATCATCTTCAGCGTCCCTGAAAGATCAAGCGAATGTTCTTGCGGAACATTTCCAAGACGTTTCTAGTTTACGCAACTGCAGTGAAGCATTTAAAAAGTTCAGCGCGACATCAGAGAAACAACCAATCATTCTGTCTGGGGCTCGTGACGCTCCATACAACAGGCCTTTTACACTCTCTGAGCTCGAAGTGGCTCTCAGTGTAAAGAAACAGTCTGCTCCTGGACCAGACAATATTCATTATGAGATGCTGAGGCACCTGTCACCTGATTGTCTAGACAGTTTGCTGACCTTTTATAACTCATTGTGGCACTGCTCTGCATTCCCCGAGGTTTGGAAAAGAGCACATGTAATCGCTCTTCTGAAGCCTGGTAAGGATTCTTCTCAACCAACTAGCTACCGTACCATTGCACTTACAAGCTGCTTGGGAAAAACCTACGAAAGAATGATTAATCGACGTCTCGTTCATTTCCTGGAGACTGAGAATGTGCTTGACATTAATCAATGTGGATTTCGAGCTGGACGTTCCACGCTTGACCACTTAGTCCGCCTTGAAACCTCTATTCGGGAGGCATTTGTACACCGCCAGTTCTGTCTCTCTGTGTTCTTTGATCTGCAGAAGGCGTACGACACGACCTGGCGCTATGGGATCCTACGGGATCTCTATGCTTACGGTGTTCAGGGTCGCATGTTGCGATGTATACAAAACTTTTTAATGGGACGTACCTTCCAAGTACGCCTGGGCTCCACCTTATCGGACGTGTTTTTTTTCAAGAAAATGGTGTCCCTCAGGGAGGGGTGCTGAGTGTCACACTTTTTGTTGTTAAAATCAATAGCCTGGCTAAGGTGATACCATTGACAGTGTCTTATTCTCTGTATGTGGATGATGTGCAAATTTCAGTTTCTTGTAATCTACATAGTTGCGAACGTCAACTGCAACTGACAATCAACAGAATGAGCAAGTGGGCAGCTGAAAATGGGTTTAGTTTCTCCCCCGACAAAACCGTATGCGTTCCTTTTTCGCTGCGTCGAGGGTTGTCACCGAATCCTACCTTGCATCTGAATAACCTTACCATTACTGTTAAGGAGGCGCACAAGTTTCTAGGCGTGATATTCGACAAAAAGCTCACATTCGTACCCCACTTGAAAGAGCTGAAACAAAAATGCCTACGATCTTCCAGTATTCTTAAGGTGCTGTCACACACTACTTGGGGGTCTGACAGACGATGTCTGCTGCGAATTTATAACTCTCTAGTGCGGTCCCGGTTGGATTACGGTGCACCGGTATATGCGTCGGCACGACCATCCCCAGGCGAAAATTTTCAACTGGGACCAGTTGGTCCCAGTTGCAACTGGTTTATGGAACAAATCCCAGTTACAACTAGTCCCAGTTGGAGTCGTCCAACTGGGACCAATGGGTCCCAGTTGCAACTGGTTTATGGAACAATTCCCAGTTGGAGTTGGTCCCAGCTGGAATTGGTCCCAGTTACAACTGGTCCCAGTTGGAGTTGGTACCAACTCCAGCAACAATGAAACACGGCACAAAATGGAACGTTGACAAGACTTTATTGTCAAAAACTTGGAGAATGAAACTAAATAGGTTCGATGACGTACACGCTCCGGGTTTAGCCACTTGCTTGCGACGACTGAATCGCTTTTTCAGAGGTGGTATTCATGAGATGAAGGAAGATCGGCCGCTGGCGTCTCGTAGTGAAGACGTCCTCAGCTTCTCTTCCCATCGCGTGAAGAAAGGTGCTCACCCATGATCCTGCGTTGCGCAGGTGAAGTCCTGATAAGATGTGGTAGCGCTCCCACCTTGCAATCTCTGTCACAACAGTCGAACATTTTCGAGGTAGAGCTCCCGCCATTTTCGCCATTGTGCTCTTCGCGGCGTGTTCTCTTCCGTCCGGTCTTTCCTGGGTGCCCTCCGATCGCTGAACTGCATCTTTCCATCCTCGAAGTTTACCGCCGCCACCATGGCGTGTGTACAGTTAGGTCCAAAGAAGCGCAACTGTAGTTTTGACATTTTCATAACGACGCCAACTTGGGCGATAGCGACCCTTCTCTACCGCGTCCGTCCGACTCTGGCGTCAGTATAGGCAGCGCCATCTGTCGACAGCGAGTACCACTAATCCGCACCCGCGTGCCACGGCGGCCGGCTAGCTCTGATTAGTCAAAAGATAAATTTATTTATTAAAAGAAAAAAAATACTGTAGGTATTTAAATAAATGTTTTAATATATTTTAATAATGCACTAAATGTTCATTTAGGTGAACACATTTTGTCACTAATTATATTTTCCAATTAAAAAATTATTTAGTTAGTTAAAATTTTTATATTATTTTTATAAATATATAATTCCCAGTAATTAAAAATTCCCTATTTGTATAAATCTAAAAATATTAGTGATTTTAGTTTTCTTCATTAGCAAAGGTCAATACACCCCCAACTTGTCCAAATTGTTGCCCAGTGTGAACTGGGAACGGGAAAGGCATTTGAGGTCCGACTGGGAATCGCTCCAACCAGTTACTTTCCTAACTGGTTCCAGTGCACTCCATTCCCAACTGGGAGTCAAACCAGTTGACTCCCAACTGGGAATGGTTCAAACCAGTTGACTCCCAACTGGGAATGGTTCAAACCAGTTGGCCCCTCAGCTGGCCCCAGTTGGACTCCTATTGGTCCCAGTTGATTCCCAGTTGGGACCATTTAGTCCCAGTTGCTTCCCAGTTGGGACCAGTTAGTCCCAGTTGAAACCAGTTAAGGTGCCAACTGGTCCCAGTTAGAAATTTTCGCCTGGGTCTGCTTTGAAGATGTTAGACCCAATCCATCACTTGGGGCTGCGTCTAGCCACGGGTGCTTTTCGCACGTCGCCTGTGCTGAGTCTGTATGCTGAAAGGCATCAGATGTCGCTTGAGCGACGCAGACAATACCTTAGTCTCTGTTAGGCCTACAAAGTTTATAGTGACCCGTACCACCCTTCATTCTCCGCTCTGCAGACCTCTGCATCACTGCGCCTTTTTGAGAATAAGCCTAGTATTGTTCGGCCCTTGAGCCTTCGGGCTGAGAGCATGGCAAGGTCGCTGCACCTTTCTTCTGATGAGCCTCCCTTCTTGAGACAGGCCTATAGGGTCGCTCCTTGGGACTTGGTGCCAATCTATTGTGATTGGTCCCTTTCAAGGTACAACAAAAAGGTTGTTCCTCCTTTTGTTCTCTTGCGGGAGTTCGCAGAGCTAGAGCAGAAATATAGTGACTATCTCCACTTTTACAGTGATGGCTCGAAAACATTGAATTGCGTAGGCTGTGCAGTTTATTCTCTCACTTTCAGCGAAGTTAGGCAACTGAACCCTCTAGCAACTATTTTTACTGCCGAATTGTATGGTATCCTGATTGCTGTTGAATATATTCTAGAAAATAACATTAACAAAGCAGTTCTGTTTGTTGATTCCAAAAGTGTTCTCTTAGCTATTTCATTTTTAGCAGACAGCAAGAATGCTCTTGTGCAGCAGGTTCGCTTTCAGATAAACAAAGCTTTCCATCTAGGACAACTTATAAAATTCTGCTGGGTGCCCAGTCATGTGGGCATTCCTGGTAACGAGAATGCAGACTCCCTTGCACTTTCTGCGAAAAACTACACGGAAACGTCTTTTGGCCTGCCACACCAAGACCTCAAGCCAGCCTTAAACAAGTCAATTATTAAGTTATGGCAGCTGGATTGGGACACGCAGATCGATAGCAAACTCCACATTATTAAGCCCAACTTAGAAGTATGGGAGAGTTCCTTCCATAAGGACCGCCGTTCGGAAGTCCTTTTGTGCCGCTTGAGAATTGGTCATTCTCGATTGACGCACCTGCACTTGCTCTGCGGTGAAGATATAAAGCTCTGTGAAAAGTGTGGGAAAGTTTTAACTGTCCTTCACATCCTTTGGAATTGTAGATTTCTTGATCATCAACGTCGAAGATATTTTCCTGAAATTTTCAGAAACCACCTTCCATTTCATCCTTATTTTTTGCTTGGTGATAGACCCTTGGTACCATTGGCTCGCGTTTTAATTTTCCTACATGCAATTGGCTTTTTGCACCTGATATAGGTAGACAATTAAGTTTAGACATAGCTGCATGCTAGGCTTTTTAAGTTAACTTTCTTGGCGCAATATGGCCACAGTCGCTCTTGCGCCATTAAACCCCAATCATAATAATCCACCCCAGAACAGGAGATGACGTCTCCTGCTCAACCAGCTGCTTCGACCTCTCGGGGCAGGGGACTGCCTCCGCACACCTCTGCTCCCCAGAGGAAGCCTGGGGAAGTGCCAAGGCAGTCGACCTCCAAGGGCCAGCTGCCGGCAGCTGCAGACGAGCCCATGGACGATGGTGGATCGAGATCTGATGAGGAGGCTCTCCTCTCAAGATCAGAGTCCACCCCCTCTGCCTCCAGTGACTCTAATCGGAGGCAGAATAACCCCCAGATCAACGCATGACGGAACAGTGATGGCGGTGGGAGTGTAGTACGAAAACGTTTGCGTTTGTCAACTCCGCTAATACGGGGCAGTTTTATGAAATGATGTTTGCCAACGCCGCTGATGCAGGGCAGTTTTCCGAAATGAATGCTCCTAAACAGGCAGTGAAACGCAAGATTTATTGGAGACTAATGGCGGCAAAATTCCAAGATCTACCCTGTCTCGTTTGCTACGAGATTCTCACAACACGACTGAAGTTTCCACGGAAAATCGAGCATCACTGGATGATAGTGTTCCTCCAGCGCGTGACATACCATCGACGGCACCTTTGACACCTGAGCCACAGGAGAACTTAGACGATTCGGCTACTCTGGACGAAGCCTCTGCGAATCATCCTGTGGATGCACAAGATGATCCAGATGAAGACCATGTTTTTGAGGATCTAGGAGAATGGTTTCGCAAAAACCAAGAACAGTTCAGCGTTCCCTTCATTCCTTCTGGCCCCTTAACCCTGGGGGATGCCTTCATGATGGTCATGGACTATGCGTTGACAATAGGCCTGTCATACTCGGATTCAGAGCAGTTGCTTAAGCTAGTCAACAAACTTGTGCAAGCTAAGGCTTTTCCCGAAAGCAAGTATTTGTTTCAGAAGTTTTGTGGAATAAGTATGTCAGAAATTACATTTCACTTCTACTGCCCTCACTGCTTGACGATCGTTGCGAAATGTTCTGGAGAACTTTCCAAAAGGAAGAATGTAAATGTCAAGTGCTCCACCTGCGAGCAGCATTACAGAGGACCACAACTCGTCAAAGATGGCTGTTTTTTCGTAAGCATGCCAGTAGAGAAGCAGCTAGCATCACTTCTTGCCAGCAAGAAAATCAGTTCAGCTTTCCATACAAACCTGAACAAAATTGCATCAGAACCTCCGAACGTGTCCATGAATGACATAACTGATGGGGCACTGTATCGCAAGAAAAGACAAGATTTGGGTATGGCAGACATGGACTTCACAGTGACTGTCAACTCGGATGGCAGCCCCATGTTTAAATCCTCCAAATATTCCATTTGGCCCGTTCAACTTAGTATCAACGAGCTGCCACCACTGCTCCGTTTTAACAATGTGCTGATGCCAGTACTTTGGTATGGCGTAACCAAGCCCAACATGACCATGCTGCTCCAAGCTTTTGCCGATGGACTGCAAACTCTGAACAATGGCGGAATTAACTGGAAGACTGAGGATGAAGTAGTTCATTCAAAGGTAAGGAGCTATATTACTGCCCTGCCAATTGCATTCAAATCTTACTGAAACAATGACTTTCACAGTGTTATAATGGTAACATACTTATCAACACATACAGGTGTTCTGCATTTGCTGTTGTGCTGACGCTCCTGCGAGGGCTGCTCTGCAGGAGTCGACCCAGTACAACGGATACTTTGGATGCAACTGGTGTTACCACCCTGGAGTCTGCGTTGGAGGCAAGTGTCTGGATCATATTTTGATCGGAGTGAACACTCCTAGTACTTAGCGGGTGCTGTTCACATGTACTAAGACCCAGTCGCGTCACAAAGGGGGGGGGGGGGGGGGGGGAGGTCGCGGCGGGCTACTGACCCTCGTGACACCACTGCTAAGACCACTTATTGAGATAAGAAATTAAGTACAGTGCGCAAAAAGGCGAGGACAACGAGAGTAGAGCAAAGGACGAGCACCAACTATCACGTGAAGTTTTATTAAAAACAGCTCAAACGAGAAAAACACCCCAAAGCCAACACGCGTTGTAACTATTACGGCGTTACGTTAAGGCGTTGGTTCGCTTTGTGGTGTTTTTCTTGTTTTAGCTGTTTTTCAGCTCTCATCCTGTGCTCTACTCTCACTGTCCTCGTCTTTTTGTGCACCATTCCTAATTTCTTTAGTCATGAACCACTCGCCTGCATCGCCACCTTAATATTGAGAATAGGAAATGCTGTCTTACCTCAGTGTCTAGAGGTCTTTGCAGTGTAATTGTTGACATTTATTATTACACAGCCAACTTAGCATGATTAATTGGAGTTTAATACAACCTTTCACTTGGTTATGAACTTCCCTAATAAAGTATTACAAACCTGCACACTACGCTATCTTGAAGGTAAACACTTTTGAGAGATGCCTGTGTGAAATGTAGATGACTATGAAATGCCCTTCGGGCGCACAGAAGTACTATGTAGAGAAAGGCAAGATGAGTGGAACCAAAAAGTTAAAAATATTTTCCATACAGACGCACAGTTTTGGACCTAATAGCATCTCATGCTTGAAGGAAAACTGAAGTGGTTCTGTATTTGAGGGAAAAAACGCTTAAATTGTCTTGATTGAGCCTCCAGGATCCCAAATATTGAAATTATTTTTCTTTTTGGTGCACGGTGGCTGCAGAAATTAATTTTCATAGTACCACTGAAGCCCCTTCTCTTAGATGCGTGACGTCATACTAGGAGTTTTCGAAATATGTTCTCGCGCATTTTCAGAGCCTATCGAAGCTAGGCACGCATACTCTTGTTTTTTTTTCTTTCAGAAAGGTCAGAGACGGGGGATCAGTGCCCGATTGGGCTAGCGCACACCAGCTAGGAAAACGTGGAGCGAAAGCTCGCACTGCAGAACCCAGGATCCTGGGTTCAATCCCCACCCCTGCCCGTTTCGATCTGGATGAGCATCATACCGGCGTGTGGTCGTGTACCACTACTGCGTGGTGCATGTTAAAGATCCCAGGCTAGCGGTTGTACCGCACTGGCTAAATTTCTCATCTACTTCGAGTGATTTGTCACAACTTTGAAATGGCTAACCAACTACACGCTGTCTAAATATCCACACAACAATTAAGGTCAGAGACGTCACGACTGGTATCAGTGTGGGGGAATATACCTTGCAAGCTTGCAGTTGCACGCCCTGCCCACATGAGCGACACATCTTAGCATGACGTCACGACTGGTCGGAGGTTTTTCGTGTTTTCTCATGTTTAGTTACGTCTTCCAGGAAACCGAATGGAACATTCAGGTTCACTGGATAAAAATACGCCATAATTCACTTCTCACTTTTTTTTCAAGAAGTGTTTTAGTTTTCTTTTAATATGACAATAAGTGACATCACAATTTATAAAAATTTCTTGTTTGTTGTAGGGACTGTAAAGTACCCGGTGGATGGCGGGCCATCACAGGAAAGAACACACGAGGGCATGATCAAAGACATGGCGGCTGCCTCTGAGCTAGGAACTCGCATACAGGGAGCAAGGGGGTTGTCTCCCTTAGTCAACGTCAAAGGATTTGACATTGTATGGTCGTTTAGTCCCGTCTTTATGCATTGTGTACTGCTTGGGGTTGCAAAGCAGCTGACCGAGCTATGGCTCGCAACTCCTGGAGAGTCGTACTACATTGGCGAACCAGGAACCATAGCTCTAGTTGACGGCCGACTCTGCAGCATTAGACCGCCACAAATCTTCACCAGACTTCCAAGGTCATTAACACTTAAAAATATTGGAAAGCTGCAGAGTGGCAACACTGGCTGTTGTATTTCAGTGTGCCTTGCTTACAAGGAATCCTGCCTGAGTGTCTCTTGGAGCACGTGTGCCTACTCGTGACAGGCATCTTCAGCTTGCTAAAACACTAAGTGACGCAGGAAGACGTGGATAGGAGCACTGGGTGCTTAGTAGAATTTGTTGTAAAGATGCAGTTTCTTTACACACAACAGCAGATGACTTACAACATACATCAGCTCCTTCACTTGCCGAAGTGTGTTGTAATGTTTGGCCTGCTCTGGGCTCATTCCTGTTTCTCTTTCGAGACCAACATGGGTAGGCTTCTCAAGCTAGCAACTTCTGCAAACGGTGTCCCCATTCAAATCATGTCACGGTTGATGCTGAAGGACAGCATTACTGCATATAAGACTGGCAGGTCACGTCACTCTCAGCTGTATTTCTAGAAAAAACAGCACGCCATGGATCACTGAGGAATTTGCCACTGCCATTGGGAAAGCCAAAATCTGTGGGTGAATCTCTGAAGAAGTTTGTTCTTGATTCTGTTGCACACACTGGACCTGCCACAGTTGCAGAGTATGACAGAATGTCAATTCATAATGTTTCCTTCCACAGTAGCAGCTATGAGAGGCAGACAAAAACAGACTGCAGAGGTATCAGACTAGCAGATGGCACATACGCTAAGATAGACCACATCATTGAGGTTGCTGGTGGAGAATTAACTGACATCTGAGCTGTTTATTTCTTCGCATGTCTATTATGTGAGCTGCCTCCAAGGTACCCTGCACATCAAGGCTGCAGCCAAGCGACCCCAGTATAAACTGTACAAAGTTGACGTGACTATGATGCCATGCATATTCATGCAGCTTGAACAAAGAGCGTTTTTCTGCGATCTTGTTAACAGGTATGAGTGGTCTTAAACCTTACGTGAGGCCGTCATAACAATTGTTTTGCTTGCGGTTGCATGGATGTGGATTGTCTCAAGCGGTAGGTGCTGTCTGTCAGTGCTTTGTGCAACAAGTGGTTGTGCAACCACCTGTTGCACAAACCCATGCTACCTTTTGTCAACTCATTGCAATGTATGAAAATGAACCTGAAAGATTTTTTAAGGGAGACTTGTTTCGGCTGCTTCAGTTTACATTTCTGCTATTTCTCTGAATTCAATAAATAATTTTACCTGCATATATGTTTATCTCATGTGTCTGTTTTCTGCCTGAATTGTTTTGATTTGCAGAGTATGACTTCATGGGTCATTCATTTGTTAGTAACCCTCATGACACATGAAAGCTACTTGCACAAGAAAGCGATCTGCAAGCATTTTTCCGGTTCATGGCCACTTGCCGCGAGATAGTACATTCCAAATAAAATTAAATGGAGGAGAGCACACATTTCTGGTACTAATCTTCTTTGTAGCCCCCTCCTTCCTGCTTCCCTCTGACAAGTTGTTTAGGTTTTCCTTCTGCATTATTCTTTTCCATATCACCTGCTTCCTACATGCATTTGTTTTATGTCTGAGAGCGCATACTGGTTGCATTTGCCCAGCGCAGAATGATGCCTCTGGCAATACCTGTTTAAACATTGAGACCACTAGTGCTCTGAGTACAGTGTAGACCGCATATAACGTATGTCTCGGGAGTCGCGAAAATCCTCACTATAAGCGGTACCGCACTATAACCAAAACATCAATTTTTTAGGCCAAAATACATGCCATGAGACAACTTACCTTTCCAAAAGAATTTATTTTATGTTAGATGAAAAATAAACCTTAGTTTGAGGAAAGTCTTTATTTCACCAGACTAGTACAGTTCTGTCACAAGTGTGTCACACATTTTGAAAGAAATGAGCGGCATTTGCCTGGCGCAGCCTTTTAACGGCGTCGTGGGTTGTGGACGGACGTTGCGAGCGTTCAGGATTGCTAACCCTAATCACTTTTCTCCGGAGATGAAAACGCTTGAAAATTCGCATCCTTCATACGGTACGCGCCAGTAATACCTTGAACTTTAGCACACGCATGAAATGCGCCAAATAAGAAATCCGGGCGATGTTTGAGGACACAAACGCTTAGAAATCACCACTGTAGTGGAAGTAAACAAACACGACGACACGGGCGTTTCTGCCGTCTTGAGAGCGCCGCCACGACATCGCCGCACGAGTAGGTAAATCTTCTCTTCTAGTACGTGCTGGGTTATCATAGCGACACACAACAAAAATTCACCGTCAAGGATAGCGCTTTTACGCAGAACGGTGAGATGCATGCCGTCTACGACGACGATCACAACCGACGCCATGTTTGCGGAATAGAAGCAGCCGGCTCGCGACCGGCAGACCGGCATGCAACGCGCGCGAACACTTCTCGACCTGCGTTTGGTCTGTCGTTGCGGTTGTTTGTTTTTTTGTTTCCAACGCAGCGGAGGGACGCACGCACGTGAACGACTCGTGTGTGCGTCCCTCCGTCGCTATGGCAACTGAAGCCTCTCTCTTCGCTTCTCCCCGCGTTTTCTAGCAACCTCCTTGCCCCGCGAGTGCAGCTTGTGGCTCGCGCCGTTGTCTAGTGTCGCACAGGGAAGCGAGCTCGCTGCTCTGGTCGTCAGCGCGGTCGGCGGGCTGTGCCAAAAATCACACTATAACCGGTATTTCCCTTCGCGCGCCTGCGTTTTAAGCGGTATGTAATTACATGGAGTTCTATGGGAGGTGAACCGGTAATTTAAAAAAACCGCGTTATACCCGGTCCTGCACTATAAACGGTTACGTTGTAAGTGGTCTATACTGTATTAGTTTTCAGGATATCAAAAGCTCTTATCTTTTGAGTGAGAGGACTAGAGTGCCTGACTTTAGTCCCCAATGCAAATGTGGGATAATATTTCTATCCAGTGGACATGAAACACCTAGTCCAGCTGGACTTGCCACCCCCAATTGGAGATCCAACTGGATCCAGAGATGGACTGCACCCAGTCCAGCTGGGATTAATGCAGCCCAGCTGGACCCAGTGCTATTCCAGCTGGAACTGGTCCCAGTCCAGATGCATTCAGTGCTGTTCCAGCTGGAGCTGGTCCCAGTCTAGATGGATCCAGTGCCATTCCAGCTGGAAGTGGTCCCAGTCTAGATGGATCCAGTGCCATTCCAGCTGGAACTGGTCATGGTCTATATGGATCCAGTATCATTCCAGCTGGAACTATTAATTTCCAGCTGGGTTCAACTGGTTCCAGTTTCATTTCCAGCTGGAATCAGTTCCAAATTTTCACCTGGGAATCCAGCCATGCACAAACGTGGACCAAAATATTGTGTGGAAAATACAGTTTTAACGAAAAAGGGGGTTGGCAGTGTATTTTGGCTGCATCTAGAATTGGAACAGGTGAACCAAGGGGCCTTCTTGTCATGTTCTGTGAATTGCATTTTTTTTTCTGTTTTAGAGGTTGTCAATGGAAACAGTAAAAAAGGTGGCCTGCGTGCCAAACCCACGAAGGACATCTAGTACATCCCAGAGGAGGACTAAAAGCTGGGGATCTGTTGAGGTGAAGCCAAGAGCCTTCCGCGTTCAATCGTGGTCACCTCGGCCGAGATAGGGTGCCTACATGTTTCCGCGGCGGAAACATATAGGCACCCCAGGCCGAGATTTTAACCCACCAACTGTGGACCCATAGGTCAGCATTTTGCCTCATAGACACTGAAGCAACACACTAGAACATTACCGCTAAATTAGGTCGTGCTAATTAAAACAATGAATTTATTTACTATTAATTAAAACATGAATTTATTTACTATTTGCCGTAGCGACATCAAATGCTGCATTTCGTCAAGTTTAAGCTCGGCGAGCGCGCTCCGAGAGTCGACGAGCGGGCACAGGTGAGCAGCAACCTCAAAACTGGCTCACCTGTATGTTTGCTTAAGGTTGTCAATCTTATCGCTTACTTGCTTCCGGGTCTTCTCGATAGACAGCCTCTCGAGACCGAGGCGGATTGTCTTGTACACTCCGGCGTTCGTCCTTTGTCGCCGGAGTTCGCCGATGTTGTCCTGGATTAGCGACCATGTTTCCGCCTTGGACCAGTGAACTCGAGGGCCTTTCCCACTGGTGCCGCTAGTGCTGGCATCCAAGTTCACTGGTTCACCAGGCGAAATCATGGTCACAAAAATGCTCTGGGCAGACGAAGCGGACGACTCGTCGTTGCTACTCAAAGCATGAAAAGCTGGTGCAGCCGCCATTGCGTTCGTGCCACCGCTGCTGCCCGTTGTCGTGAGTATAAAGTTGTCGATACCATTTCTCATCTCCCCGCAGGGGGCACCTGTGAAACCAGGTGTTTGGAGAGTGGCGTCTCCACGGACCCCGAGCCCCGCAGGGGGCGCCTGCACCTTGTGTGCTAGGTGCTTGGTGAGTAGCGTCACCACGGACCCCAGCCACATTGGCAACATCACAGACCTTGAGTAAAAAGTGGCTAAGACCCACCCACGTCTAACTGTGCGTGGCGAGCCCGTGTCCGGGGAAAAGGGCATCCTGGTGGTTGAGCTGAACCCGGGGTAGGTTTGGACCCTTCGGGGCCCCCTGGGTGAGGCAACACACCACTTTGGCCCCCGCTTCTCGTAGACGGGTGTCCTGGCTTGGCCCGACCAGGATGATGCAGTCTGTCGCCATTTCTTCTACTATCCCCTCTTTTCTTTCTCTTTCCTCCTTTCTCCTATTCTTCGTTTTCACCTTCTTTGGCGGCAAGGGCTAACCTTGGGTGGCGACAGAACTCTCTCTTGATCCACACTTGGTTATAGCTTCCTAGTAGCACTGGTAGAGTAGCATACTCAGACAAGCCAGACCTGTTATGAGATGTTACCTATCCCCTTGTTGGACTCCGCGGTGGGTGGTGCGCTACGAATGCCGAAGTTTTTGCCCTTCATATGGGTTGTAAGCAAAAAACCTCCCCCGATCGGACCTTGAAAAGGGTCCGGACCGAAGTAGTTACCAAAGACTCATCAGCTACAGCCCAGAATAGCTTCAGCCGCTTTCTGGTAATGCATTCGGAACAAAATGGAAAACCACTTGCCAAGCTTTCACCCTTTCTTATTTCAAAGACTAGAAAACTTAATTGGTCAAAACTTGAAAGCAAAGAAATTAGCATCTGGTGACCTGCTTGTTGAAGTACAAAACGGAGTTCAGAGTGTGGTTCTCTTAGATTTAAACAAGATCTCGGATTATAAAGTATCTGTCACTCCACATTGCACCTTGAACAGCTGCCAGGGCGTCATTTCAGAGGAGGACCTTCTAGAATCTAGCGAGGACGAAATCTTGGAGGGCCTTTCCGGGCAGGGAGTGGTCGCTGTGCGACGAATCTCAATACGCAGGGATGGACAGGAGAGACCCTCAAAACACCTGGTCCTCACTTTTGCATCCACTGTACTGCCTGAGAGCATTAAAGCAGGCTATCTCCACTGCAAGGTGCGCCCTTATATACCTAACCCAAGGCGATGCTTCAAGTGCCAAAGATTTGGCCACAGCTCGGTATCCTGCCGTGGAAAAACAACGTGTGCTAAATGTGGAGGCACAGACCATCCAGCCGACACATGCGAAAGTACACTTCTCAAGTGTATCAACTGCTCTGGTTCCCACCCCACCTACTCCCGAGCCTGTCCGAAGTTCCAAGAAGAAAAGAAGATTTTAGCTTTAAAGATAAAAGGGAACCTGACTTACCCTGAGGCAAGGAAACGATTTTCCTTCCTCCAAGGAGGGACTTATGCCGAGGCGGCAGCCAGGGGGGCTGCGCCGCCACTCAAGGCATCGGTGGGCACTCAGTACAGTCCTCGAGCCCCCCAACCCCCAGCGAGGCTCCTGTGGGTTCCCAGACCCCGGCGGCCCCGCCAAAACTTCCACGTGCCAGGACGATGCCTCATCGTCTTGGCCCGAAGCTTCGAGTGGTGCTAGACACCACTCCCTCTCACGGCAGTGAGGGACCCACTCCTTCCACTTCCCAGCGGGAGGAGGAGGCCATGGAGGTATCTGTCGACCTGACAGAACCACCTCCACCTGCCAAGGGAGGCACAAAATCTGCCCCTGAAAAAGGGGATCAGAAGAAAAAACCTCCACGTGTCACTGCCCCAACCAACCCAAGCTAA